CTGGCCTAGCTCCAGGTGCAGGCGCACGGCGGCGCCCAGGGCGGCGGCAGCGGCCTGCAGCGGCTCCCCGTAGGCGGCGGGGCAGGCCAAGCGCTGGCGCGCGTCGCGTTCCTGCCGCAGGAAGAGGCGCGCGGCCTCGGTCAGCGCCAGCGCCTCCCCGGGCCCGTGGAAGAGCGCCTGCTGGCAGCGGGCCACGGCCAGCTGGCACCAGGCCGCGTACGGCAGGCACTCCTGTGCGCGCAGCTCGCGCCCCAGCTGGCCGAACTGCTCGCCGGCCTCCGCCACATTCGGCTTCCGCAGGAACCGCTTCTTCAGCTTGTTGCACACCTGGCGGTAGCGCGCCAGGAAGTCCCCGGCTTCAGGCCCAGGGCCCGCACCGCCGCCCAGGCCGGTCGCGGAAGCCGCCATGTTCGCCGCTTAGGCACTTCCGGGCGCGCTGACGCAAGTGGGCGCACGTGCTGGGCGACGGCGGCAGGCTGAGACGTGCCCTATCCGGACCACCACGCGACCGCGCCGGCTCGGCCGCCGGGAGGTCTCGTCGCCCTGGTGATATGCAAAATAGCAAGCAAGGAGGCCCGGCCGGGACTGGCTGCGGGTGGCGTATGCAAATCAGGGGCCTTGGGGCGGGGCCTGGCCCGCCGTCCGGGGTTCTGTGAGCGGACCAACAGTGCTGGGGCGGGGCCTGACTGGGCGCCCCCTGTTGCTAGGTGACAGCTTTAAAAAAAAATCATTTATTTAATTTATTTATTTTTGGCAGTGTTGGGTCTTTGTTGCTGTGTAGGGGCTTTCTCTAGTTTCGGCGAGCGGGGGCTACTCTTCCTTGCGGTGCGCGGGCTTCTCATTGCGGTGGCTTCTCTTGTGGAGCATGGCTTCTAGGCGCGCGGGCTTCAGTAGTTGTGGCTCTTGGGCTCTAGAGCGCTGGCTCAGTAGTTGTGGCGCACGGCCTACCTTGCTCCGCGGCATTTGGGATCTTCCCAGACCAGGGCTCCAACCGGTAGGTGACAGCTTGTTTACGCAGGTTGCCAAGCAGGACATCTCTTGGCATCTCTAGGGAAACACAACCAAAAACTCTTGACCCTGCGTGACCCTAATTCCGACTTTGCCTATGTGTTGATTGTGTCCCGCCCACCCCAATCCCGATCACGCTTCAATCTTCCCGTCAAAGCCCCTGCCCCATGGGAGTCCATGCCAAGCACTCTGTCCACCTACCCCTGTCTCCCCAACCCAGGGCGGTCGGTCGCCTTGGCACCTTCACTCTATCACGACGCTGCCCTCACGCGCCATTTTTTTTTCCTTTGCGGTATGTGGGCCTCTCACTGTTGTGGGCTCTCCCGTTGCGGAGCACAGGCTCCGGACGCGCAGGCTCAGCGGCCGTGGCTCACGGGCCCAGCCACTCCGCGGCATGTGGGATCTTCCCGGACCGGGTCACGAACCCGTGTGCCCTGCATCGGCAGGCGGACTCTCAACCACTGCACCACCAGGGAAGCCCAAAACACACCATTTTGACTATCTTTAAATGTACAGTTCAGAGCTATTAAGTATACTCACATTGTTGTGCAAATTTTGGGGGGGTTGAACTGATATTTAATTAATTTATTTTCAATCTTTCATTTTTACTGATAACAGTGATTAGTGCTATAACATTTCCTCTGATCACTGCTTTAAATGCATCCCATAGATTCTGATATGTTTATATCATCATCTGTTTTAGAAATGCTGTAATTTTAGTTTGCATTTTTTCTTTCAACCAAGAGTTGTTTAACTAAAGGTCTTAAAAATAATCCCCAGGGACTTCCCTGGTGGTGCAGTGGTTAAGAATCCACCTGCCAATGCAGGGGACACAGGTTCGAGCCCTAGTCTGGGAAGATCCCACATGCCACGGAGCAACTAAACCCGTGCACCACAACTACTGAGTCTGCGCTCTAGAGCCTGCAAGCCACAACTACTGAGCCTGTGTGCCACACCTACTGAAGCCCGCATGCCTAGAGCCCATGCTCTGCAACAAGAGAAGCCACCGCAATGAGAAGCATGTGCACCGCAACTAGAGAAAGTCTGTGCACAGCTATGAAGACCCAACGGAACCAAAAATAAATAAATTAATAAATAAATAATTTTTAAAAAAAGGTCCACATCAAAATAAATAAATAAATAAAATTCCCAGGCAGAAGTCCCTTTTAAAAATGTTTTAATACTTTCTAGTTTTATTTTATTGTGATCAGACAGTGTTGTTTGCAATATTTGTACTTTATGAAATTATTGACCTTTTCTTTGTGACCTAACATATAATCAATTTCTGTGATGTGGACACCTGAGAAGATGTATTCTTTAATACAAGTGTGTAATGCATAAGATCCACATTTTTATGTTGTCTAGGTCCTCTACATTATTACTTAATTTTTGCCTACTTGAGCTGTCTTAGAGTGGTATGTTCAAGTCTCCTATCTTTAGTGTGTTTTTATCTCTGATTCTATACATCCTCTATATTTTTTGCTTCATAAAACTAGTTACTGTGTTATATGATTCATATTGAATTGCAGATTTTAGTGTCAAAAAGCACCCTTCTTTGTCACATTCAGTGTTTGGCTTGAATTCTGCTTTGTCTGATATAAGAAACACTACCCCCTCGCCCCCCGCCGATTTCTTATTGTTTCCATTTGCCTTGTAAGTCTTAATCCCTTCTTTTATTTTTGGCTTTTTTCAATCATTTTGCTCTCTGTGGTCTGTTGCCTACAGCATATGATTGGTTCTTGCTTTGTGAGTCAAATTGAAAAGTTTCTTCTTTTAATGGATAAATTAAGCCCATTCACATTTATTGATCTAACTGACATGCTTGCCTCAATTTAGTCATATCTTACAATTATGTATACAATGTTATATTTTATGTTTCCTTCTCTACAAGATGTGCTTTCTATGCTTATTTTTTTAAATTTACTTATTTATTTTAGCATTCCAAGAGGTTTGTATTTTTTTCTACAAGTACCTTTGTACTTATACCTTTTTGAAACTTTTTCTTTTGAAGTGACTACAGAATCAAAAGAAGTTTCAAAAACAGTACAGTATTTTACCCATCACATAACTTCCCCAAACAGTAATGTTTGCATAATGTTAGTACCTATACCTTTTAAAAATTGCTTACGGGCACATTGACACAGAATTATCTAAGTCCTGGTTTGTTTAAAACTTTTTCTTTTTCCGTAACCTTGATATTTAAAGGCCAGTTTCACTGGATATAAACTTCTCGGCTCAAGTTTCTTGAAAATGCTACTTCATTGTTGCCTTCCTTGCTTTGTATGTTGTTTCGGGAAGCCTGGCACCAGGTTAATTAATTTACCTTCACAGGTTATTTGATCTTTTTGCTTAGAGGTCTTGAGGATATATTTTCTTTATCTTTCATGTCTAATAGTTTTACTAGGATATGCTTTGGATTGATCAGTTTGGTTAATTTTCCTAGGAACCCAGTGAGACCTTTCAATGTGTGGACTGAGGTCTTTAATTTTGGAAAATTTTCTTGGATTACAGGTTTAAATCTTTTAAATATTAATTCTGTTCCATTGTTTTGTTTTCTTTCCCAGTGATTCCAATTTTACAACTGCTATTCCTTTTTTGCTTGTCTTTCTGATCCTTTTTACTTCGTTCTAAATGTCAGTTTCATTCTCTCAGTTATTTTTCTGCCTTTTTCCATGCATGTTATTAAATTTTCTTGAGTCCATTTTTGCTTGGGAACCTTTTAATTTATCCTCAGTCCTGAGATAATTTTATTTTTTTCTTCCATTTATTTTCATAGTTTGAGTAATTTTCTCCATTTTTTAAATCAATTTTTTGAAAGTCTGAATCAAGTCCTTGCTGGGATTTGGTTTTTTTTTTTTTAACTTAGAGTTATATTGAGGTTTGGGTATTTTTCTGTCTTCAAGTTATGTTTACCATGTGGTTTTAGTGCCTTTTAAAATGTGTTCTTGTTATTCTGTATTGTTTTTGGAGGAAATATTGGGAGACACAGACCAAGGCAGCCACCATTGCCTTCAGCAACTGGAAGTCTTATTGAATAGTCTTTATGAAGTTTCCTAACTTATGAAAACCAAATCTACCATCCCCTACTCTGCTGAATTCACAAGGTATTTTGTTCCTTTTACCTTAAGGCCCTTTTCCAGCTGTGTTGATCACAAAGCAGATCTTGGAGGTGATCTTAGGTTTGTAACTTGTATAAAAGAAAGCCTATCCCCAGACACTTGGCTGCTATACACTTACCTATATCTTTATTATAAATGGCAGCCTTGTTTTAAAATTGTGCCCCCTCCACCAGAACTCATATGTTTAAACACTAACCCCCCAATGTGACTGTATCTGGAGATGGGGCCTTTGGGAGATAATTAGGGTTAGATGAGGTCATGAAGGTGGAGACAACAGAGAGCTTTTGCTTCCTCTCTCTCTCCACCATGTGAGGATACAGTGATAAGGCAGCTGTCTGCAAACCAGGGTGAGAGTTCTTGCCAGAATCTGACCATGTTGGCACTCTGATCTCAGACTTCTGCCTCCAGAATTATGAAAAATAAATGTCTGTTATTTAAGCCAGCCAGTTTATGGTATTTTGTTATGGCAGCCTGAGCAGACTAAGACAAATTTTGGTACTGAGAAGTGGGGTGCTGCCCTAACAAATAGCTAAGCAGGTGGAAGCAGCTTTGTAAGTGGGCAATGTATAGAGGCTGGAAGAGTTTTGAGGTGCATGCTAGAAATATTGACATTATAGGTGATTCTGGTGAGGGCTCAGAAAGAAGAGAGAAGAGCAGTAGAGAAATATTCTGTCATCTTGGAGAATACACATATCATCGTGACCAGAATGTCACTAGAAATGTGAATGCTGACAGTGCTTCTGGTGAGCTCTCACACAGAAATGAGGAACCTGTTATGGGACACTGGAGGAAAGGCCATCCTTGTCATAAAGTGGCAAAAAACACAGCTGAATTGTGTTCTAGTGTTTCACCACTGATCAGAAATGCCACCTTATCAGATAGTAAGTTTTCATACATCTCTCTCTGTTTAGAATCTCTATTCCACTACTATCTATGTTTGCACCAACATGTAATGCTTTCACAATTAGAAAAAAAATTCCTTTTTATTTTTTAAAATTTGACACTAATGAGCAAAAATTCCCTTTCTCATATTGGGTAATTTACATCAGTAGGGGAACAGGTTGCTGATGCTACGTTCATCCAGGACCATGCTTTGGAGTCATGTGTCTGCCCAAGTGGGAAAAAAGTTTAACTTCTCATAAAAACACGTCTCTAAGAATTTTCACAGAGGTTGTGCTATGAAAAGGCTATATGACCAAGTGGAACTTGTTTGAGGTCAGGCTGGGGGAACACATAAAGATGTACTTCTGTTATGTAGCCTTGTGCTTACTCTTTTCATAACACATACGTACTGTAATTGCACGTCTAATTGCCTGTCTCCATTATTGAAGTGCGTGTTTCATGAGAATAGGGACTGTTCCTTTGGCATGAGGTTGTTGTGAAGATTAAATAACTAAATAATAATAACATAGTAAGTACTCAATAAGTAGTTACTGAATTGAATTGTATTAATGTCATCTAAGAAGATAATAATCCTTTGGTCTAGGAGGGTAATTCTGAGCTGTATCAGTACCTACGAAGTTGGATAAGACTTACTTGCAGCTTTGCAGTGACATGAATACACTTTTAAGTATGGTGTAATCTGTAAAAGACTGCTTCTATTAATGAGTTTAAGGGCATGGTACTGAGAAACTTTGTTCTTTCTTTGTTTCTTTCTTTTGCCACACTGGGGGCCATGTGGGATCTTAGTTCCCCAAGCAGGGGTGAACCTGTGCCCCCTGCAGTGGAAGCAGAGAGTCTTAACCACTGAACTGCCAGGGAAGTCCCGAGAAACTTTGTTCTTTAAAATCATAGATCTTAAAAAACTTGACTTTTTGAAATCCTATCAGTGAGAATAAAAGGATCTGAGATGTTCAGAGAAGTCACAACCTTGCCATCTAGTCCAGGTACAATTGTCTCAGATCAGCGTCTTCCATCAAAGAGGGGACACAACATTATGTATTTATCTTAACTCTGGCTCCAAGGACAGTGCATTGAGCCCTTTCTATACCCAGGCCTGTTAACTCTTTTTGTTTTTTAATTTTATTGAAGTATAGTTGATTTACAATGCTGTGCTAATTTCTGCTGTACAGCATAGTGACTCAGTTATACATACATGTATATACATATTCTTTTGCATTATGGTTTATCAAAGGATATTGAATATACTTCCCTGAGCTATATACAGTAGGACCTTGTTGTATATCCATCCATCCGATATATAATAGTTTGCCTCTGCTAATCTCACACTCCCAGTAATTCCCTCCCAACCCCCGCTTTGGCAACCACAAGTCTGTTGTCTATGTCTGTGAGTCTGTTTCGTAGATATGTTGATTTATGTCATATTTTAGATTCCACATATAAGTGATATCATATGATATTTGTCTTTCTCTTTCTGACTTACTTCACTTAGTATGACAATCTCTAGGTCCATCCACATTGCTGCAAGTGACATTAGTTCATTCTTTTTTATGGCTGAGTAATATTCCACTATATCTATCTATCTATATCTATATCTATATACACACACACACCACATCTTCTTTATCCATTCATCTGTTGATGGACATTTAGGTTGTTTCCATGTCTTGGCTATTGTGAATAGTGTTGCTATGAAAATAGGGATGCATGTATCTTTTCAAATTAAAGTTCTGTCTGGGTATATGCCCAGGAATGGGATTGCTGGATCATATGGCAACTGTGTTTTTAGTTTTTTTGAGGAACCTCCATACTGTTTTCCATAGTAGCTGTACCAACTTATATTCCCACCAACAGTGTAGGAGAGTTCCCTTTCCTCCACACCCTCTCCAGCATTTATTATTTGTAGACTTTTTAATGATGGCCATTCTGACCAGTGTGAGGTTCCTCCACACCCTCTCCAGCATTTATTATTTGTAGACTTTTTAATGATGGCCATTCTGACCAGTGTGAGCTGGTACCTCATTGTAGTTTTGATTTGCATTTCTCTAATAATTAGCGATGATGAGCATTTTTTCATGTGTCTGTTCCAGGCCTGTTAACTCTTTACTCATTCCCTTACTTTTCTTTGAACCTATGAAAACACTGCTTTATTTAAATGTTATCTAGGGACTTCCCTGGTGGTCCAGTGGTTAAGACTCTGAGCTTCCACTGCAGGGGGCATGGGTTTCATCCCTGGTTGGGCAACTAAAACCCACATGCCCCGCAGCATGGCCAAAAAATAAATAAATAAATTTTATGTAAATCCCACCAAGACCTCTAAAAACACCTATCTCTCTTTTTTGAGGCTGAACTTTGTTTCTCTTTTGAAGGAGCAAAAATAAAGTTCAGTTTTTGTTTTCAGATTTGAGTGATTTGATTGTATTTTAACATGTATATTTGAGTACATACAGTAATGGAACATTTTAAATTCTGTAGAAAGATTTGTGATTATCCTTTAAGAACGGTTTACTTTACCCTTTAATGGACAGCAACAAGAACTTTTGGTCAGTCAAATTTCTTAGTAAAATTCTTTTAATGATTTAGATGTAAATATTTCTAAGGAACAGTTTGAGACTGATTGTATGTCATTTGTAACTTCAGCCATCTGTTGAGCTTGCACACATGATGCCTTCTAGCAAAAGATATTGATACTTTCCATATCATTTAAGATTGCAGTGCCTGTGCCATGGGAATTAAAGGGTGAAATGAAAATATGAAGACCTTTAAAATACACAGTGAGCAGATAGTTTGGATTAACTAGATACAGAAAATATAGCATTCTTTTTCATAAGAAAGTTGGATAGAGGAAACCATATTTTCCATATTCTTATTTCCAAAAGATTTTCTAATATGATAACAAGTGAAAAGAGAGGTTTTTCTACTGAAAGAGCTGTCCTAACTCTTTTGCTTAGCCACACTTGCATAGGTATTTTCAATTTCTTTGTCTTTAGGACACGTGTGGGTAAATTCTTCACGGGCATAAGCATTGCGGAGATAGCGCCAGACTCCTGAGAATTCTCCTGGAATGTCGAAATCACGGTATTTCTTTGCAGCAACCTAGGGTTTTGGAAAAAAAGAGGAAAAAGCAATTGGTAGTGAGGGGCATCAGTAAAATGCCTAGCGTGTAAAAACATATGTCAAAAATTAGGATCATTGAGGATGTGTTACCTATACAAAAAGTACTACAAAATAAACTTAAAGAATCTTGGATTTACTACTTTAATGTTTTGTCTACAAATGTAGACAAAACTCCATGCTTGTAATCATTTTTATATTTATGGTGTATTTAATTATGAATGTTTAGAAGAAGGAAACACAGAAAAAGAGCACAGATCTTTTCACTGTTTAGGGTCCGACAGTGTCTTACTTCTTTATGTATTCTTTGTGTCTGGCATGGGACCTGAGATAAAATAAGGTCTGTTCAATAAAAATTTGTTAAATTAACTACTAGATAATAATAATGTTAATAGCTCACTTTATTATCACTTGTTATGATCCAGACACTTTTCTAATACTTCATGTCTTAATTTAATTTTCTCAACAGTTCTGTGAAATGGGTACTATTACCCTTGTTTTACAGAAAAGACAGTGGAAAACACCTTCTGATTTAGGAAGAAAGAAACAAGAAGTTTTTATGCTTCCCAGAGAAGATCATTATGGATTTTTCCTCTGAGGAGAAAAAGGAGACATACCCTATGCATAATGATGATGACAAATCCCTCATATAAAAACTCACACTGAATGGTCACTGTGCTTCCTGTTGGCAACTCCCAAACTCCTCTCAATCATTCAGCCTGCCCTATGAAGACTTACTTTAATAATGTTCAGTTTGGGTAACAAACTGCAGTCAGCCAGTGTCAACTGATCCCCATCCAAGAACAATCTTCTGGAAACTGTGAGTTCCTCAGCACTTTCTGGATCAATTTCATCTAGAAGTGGGGTGTTCAAGTAGTCATCCAGACGCTTAAATTCTTTGAGCAGAGATTTTTCAAAATCTGAGGCAATGAAGTCAAAGGGTTACTTATAAATGTTCAGTCTTCATGACTAAATACATTCCCAATATGCTTTTCACACATTTAGACATCTCTATATACTTGACTAGAATGCTCAACTACCCACTGATAAGACAGAATCAGATGTTTAATCAAATGATGAGTAGACATATTTTTGGACTCTTCTTGAGGAGGTAAATTGGGGGGAGAGTCAAAGAAAAAGAAAGGTAATATATATTATCACTCAAGAAGAGTCAGAAAGTGGAATCAGAGACTAATAGCTCTCATGATTCAGAGAATAGTAAACCTATTTGAGAGTGTTTGTGAGAAATGGTAGGTGCTATGGTTTAAGAAACCTTAAAGGTACACAAGACTGGGAAAGTTGCGGGGGGGTTAAGAAATACAGTCCAGCAGTTAGTTCACCCCTGGCATGTCAATGTTCTAATAGAGCTAAGTTGGTGATTCCTATATTGAATATTAGATTCTAAATCCAATAAAACTTCATGCAAGGAATTTCAGAAGAGAGAACAGAGAGTGAGATGAAGAGTATTCCCCAGTATATACTATATATTCAGGAAAGTCCTATTTTAGTTGAGTCAGAATATGAGAGTGAGCATGTGAGTGAGAAAAATGAAAAGACTTAAAGAAAGGTATCTTACTCTTATTTGCCTCCTTTTGTGCGTTCTTAATGTATGCAGAAAACTTGGCAAAGAGGTTACAGCCCACATCAAAAGACTCCTTGTTCTTGGGACTCAGGTGAGGATACCTTAAAAAGAAACATCACTGCACATAACATTCACCCATAACAAGACATAGACCTGGTGTCTTTGTTGCACTCTACTGAGAGAAGTTTTGGAAAATTGTGCTGGAAACTGAAGGTGCTGAGAAACCTTTTATTGGAAATATGTTTTTTTCCCACTCTGAGAATACTTTAGCTTCTAAAGTTCACAGGGAAACCAGCTGTTTGGAATTCAAAGCTCATTTATCTATAGAAACAATGTTTCAAATGGCTGTTGGGTCCCCATACTTGCTCCTAAAAGCCTGTTTGGCAGAAGATATGGTGGTAATACATTTTCAAAGATAAGTAGTAGGAAAAAACATGGCTTCAAATAACAAAATACATAAAAGAATAAAGAGGATGGAGAGGATGGGGGAAAAGTAGGCAAGATGTCCTCCTCTTAGTAATACAAAGTTAATTTAGCATAATAAATTAAAGTAATGTAATAATGCAATTTACCACATTAACAAATTAAATAAGGAAAACCGTATGATCATGAATAGATGCCCCAAAAGTGTTCAGTGAAAATCAATTCCTATTCATAAAACCCCACACTGGCAACTAGAAATGGTTGAGCCAAACACTTAGCCATCTTCTTCGATCCCTCTTTCTCTCCATGCCCACATTTGATCCATTAGCAACTCCAGCCAGACTACCTTTCAAAATGTATCCAGAATCTGTCCACTACTCACCACCTCCACTGCTCCCTACCTGGTCCAAAGCCTATATTACTGCAACACTTTTTGATTATCCCCCCTCTCCCATGCTTATCCCTCACACTCCCAGGATATTCTCCACCTGCTGCCAGAGCAGTCATGTTAAAACTTAAGTCATATCATGTCTCTTTCCTACTCATTACCTTGCAATGCCCCCATATCATTCAGACTCAGAGCCCAAGTCTTCACAGTGGTCTACAAGGGCCAGTGTGATCTGACCCAAGCTTACCTTCTGCTCTCATCTCTTCCTACTCTCTTCCTTACTTCACTTCACACTGACCTCCTTGTTCTTCTTCAAATAGGCCTGACAAGCTCCCACCCCAGGTCCTTTTCACTTGGTCTGCCCCTAAATAAAGTGCTTTCCCTCATTTATGCACATGGCCCTCTCCCCCTCTTCTTTCAGGTATTTTAATCTGATATATCCTCCTAAGTGAGGCCTTTCTCTGGCCACCTTATCGGACATTGCAACCTCTCCCCTGGCCCTAACACTCACTACTTCCCTCCCTTGCTTTACGTTTTCTTAGTATTTATCATCATCTAAAATAGTTTATATTTTGCTTTTTATCTTGCTTATTTGCTGTCTTCCTTAACTAAAATGTAAGCTCTGCTAGGGCAGAGAGCTTTTGCCCATTTTATTCACTGATGTGTCCCAAGTGCCTAGAATAGTACCTGACACTTAGTAAGTATTCGGTAAGTATTTGTTAAATGAATTTATTAATTTCTTTAACTTGGTCAAAAGTATCCATCAAAAATTTTCAGCAAGCATCATTTTAAATGGTGAAATGTTAGCACTATTTCCTTTAAAATCAGTAAAGGATGAAGGTAATCTTGATCACTACTGCACTTCAACATTGTGCTGAATGTACTGATCAGTAAGACAAGAAAAAAAATCATTCTAAATGGTGACTCTACATTTTTACATTAAGTTTAGGAACAAGACAGAAATGCCTACAATTACTATTATAGTTGACATTTTTTTGAGGATTTAGCAAGTGGAGGAAGACAACAACATAAAGCAATCAGTATAATTATTGTAAGAGAAGTAACAATATAATTGTATACTTAGAAAAACCAAGAAAGTATAGAAAAACAATTACTAGAATTAATGAGCTATTTTGGTAAGATGGCTAAATACAAATCAAACATTAAAGAAATAGCTTTTCTATGTTAGCAATAACCAGAACGAAATGGATATTAGTAGCATATTCCACTTACAATAGTGACAAAAGTATAAAATATTTAGAAATAATTTAATATAAAAGGTATAGAATCAATATAAAAACAAAACACTACAAAATCTCATCAAAGAACATAAAACAGACATTTAGGTTCATAACCTAAGTGTCCATCAGTGGATGAATAGATAAAGAAGATGTGGTTTTACACACACACACACACACACACAAAATGGAATATTAGCCATGAGAAAGAAGGAAATCCTGCCATTTGTGCCAACATGAACGGATCTTGAGAGCATTATAGTAAGTGAAGTCAGACAGAGAAAGACAAATACTGTATGAATCACTTAATGTACACTCTAAAAAAGCCAAACTCATAAATATAGAGAGTAGAATGCTGGGGGCTGGAGGAATTGGGGAGATGTTATTTAAAAGTAAAAACTTTCAACTAGTAAATAAATCCAGGAAGTCGAATCCGCTGCATAGTGATTATAGTCAACAATACTGTATTATAAACTTCAAAGTTGCTAATAGACTAGATCTTAACCATTATCACGACTAAAAATAAATGATAGTTATGTGATGGAATAGAGGTGTTAGCTGATGCTATGGTGGTAATCATTTTGCACTATATAAATGTATCGAATGAATTTGTTGTATACCTTAAACTTACACAATGTTATATGGCAATTATACCTCAATTTTTTTTTATAAATTTATTTATTTATTTTTGGCTGTGTTGGGTCTTCGTTTCTGCGCGAGGGCTTTCTCTAGCTGTGGCGAGCGGGGGCCACTCTTCATCGCGGTGCGCGGGTCTTTCACTGTCGCCGCCTCTCTTGTTGCAGAGCACAGGCTCCAGACGCGCAAGCTCAGTAATTGTGGCTCACAGGCCTAGCTGCTCCACGGCATGTGGGATCTTCCCAGACCAGGACTCGAACCCGTGACCCCTGCATTGGCAGGCAGATTCTCAACCACTGCACCACCAGGGAAGCCCCCTCAATTTTTTTTTTTTCGGTACGCAGGCCTCTCACTTTTGTGGCCTCTCCTGTTGCGGAGCACAGGCTCCGTACGCGTGGGCTCAGCAGCCATGGCTCACGGGCCCAGCCGCTCCGCGGCATGTGGGATCTTCCCGGACTGGGGCACGAACCCGTGTCCCCTGCATCAGCAGGCGGACTCTCGACCACTGCGCCACCAGGGAAGCCCTATACCTCAATTTTTTAAAAAAAACATAAGATGATACCCAAACACTCAAATCATGTCCTCTGATGGGAAGAAGTCACATCATAAAAATGAAATTTGTATAAATAGTAATACAAATTAAATGTAATTTCAATTAAAACCCAAGAGTATTTTTTAAATTGAGGTAAAATTCACATAACATGAAACTCACCATTTAAACCATTTTAAAGTGTACAATTCATTGAGATTTTTAGTACATTCACAGTGTTGTGCACCCATCACCCCTATCTAGTTCCAGAACATTTTTATCACTCAAAAAGGAAACTGTGTTCCCATTAATCCGTTACTCCCCATTCACTCCTAGAATCACTAATCTTTCTGTCTCTATGGACTTGTTTATACTGGACATTTCATGTAAATGGAATCATAAAATGCATGGCCTTTTGTGTTTGGCTTCTTTCACTTAGTATAATGCTTCAAGGCTCATCCTTATTCTAGTATGTATCAGCACTTCTTCATTCCTTTTTATGGATGAATAATATTTCATTGTATGGGTATATACCACATTTTGTTTATCTGATAATCAGTTGATGGACATTTGTGTTGTTTTCAGCTTTTATCTAGTGTGAATACTGTTGCTATGAACATTTGTGCACATGTTTCTGTTTGAATATGTATTAGAACTAAGAAATGAATACAGTAAAGTTGCAGGATACATGATTAATATACATAAATCTGTTGCTTTTCTATACTCTAAGAAAGAACTATTAGAAAGAGAAATTAAGGAAACAATCCCACTTACAAGTATGTCAAAAAGAATAAAATACCTCAGAAAAAATTAACCAAGGAGGTGAAACACCTATACTCTAAAAACTATAAACATTGATGAGGGAATTTGAAAAAGATACAAAGAAATGGAAAAACATCTTGTGTTCTTGGATTGGAAGAATTACAATTGTTAAAATGTCCACACTACCCAAGCAATCTACAGTTTTAATGCAATCCCTATCAAAATACCCTGACATTTTCCACAGAACTAAGAACAAATAATCCTAAAATTTATATGGAACCACAAAAGACCCCCAAATACCAAAACAATCTTGAGAAAGAAAAGAACAAAGCTGGAGGTAACACAGTGTCTGACATCAGACTATACTACAAAGCTACAGTAATCAAAACAGTGTGGTACTGGAACAAAAACAGACATAAATCAGTGGAATAGAATAGACAACCAAGAAATAAACCCACACACATATGGTCAAATAATTTACAACAAAGGAGACAAAAATATACAATAGAGAAAAGACAGTGTCTTCAATAAGTGGTCACAAAGAAAGAAAACTACAGGCCAATGTCACTGATGAACATAGATGCAAAAATCCTCAATAAAGTACTAGCAAACAGAATCCAACAGCACATTAAAAGGATCATACACCATGATCAAGTGGGGTTTATCCCAGGAATGCAAGGATTCTTCAATACACACAAATCAAGCAATGTGATACACCATATTAACAAATTGAAGAAGAAAAACCATATGATCACCTCAATAGATGCAGAGAAAGCTTTCGACAAAATTCAACACCCATTTATGATAAAAACCCTGCAGAAAGTAGACATAGACAAATTATCTCAACATGATAAAGGCCATATATGACAAACCCACAGCTAGCATCATCCTCAATGGTGAAAAACTGAAACCATTTCCACTAAGATCAGGAACAAGACAAGGGTGCCCACTCTCACCACTATTATTCAACATAGTTTTGGAAGTCTTAGCCACAGCAATCAGAGAAGAAAAAGAAATAAAAGGAATCCAAATCGGAAAAGAAGAAGTAAAGCTGTCACTGTTTGCAGATGACATAATACTATACGTAGAGAATCCTAAAGATGCCACCAGAAAACTACTAGAGCT